TGAAGGGCATGATTTGGTTTATGGTTGGCATGCTTATTTAGTGTATGATAAAAAGGTGGATAGAGCATTTAAGAGTCATATATTGAGGAATGCTTTATTGCGTGTCTGGAAGAAATATCAATATAAGTTAAATGAAAAGATACCTGTGTGGACAGCTCCCAGGCACGCAATAGAGAATACGAGTATAGAAAGTAAACAGGACGTAATTACATATCTAGATATTCTTAATATGGAGGGAGGTATACTAAAACTAAAACCTGTGAATGTGTTGAAAGAGGAGAAAATAATTCAAACTTGGTTTCAGTATGTACAATTACAAGCCAGATGGAGAAAAGACCAGAAAATTGGTATTACACAAAGCGATGAAAATTTAATAAAACAAACTAGAGACCAACGTTTAAGGCATATAAAAAGATTGTATAATACATTGATAGAGATAGACTCGGAAACAGAGCTAGTTAAGGATTGTATGATAAAATGAGCGCAGAATTTTGAACAACCAATAATGATGGAAACCTGGGAAAAAATATGGGTAACAAACGTGAAATTTACACAAGCGCAAAATTTAAGGGAGAACTTTTATAAAATGTTTTACAGATGGCATCTAGATCCAAAAAAGCTATCTCGTACGTATCCAAATGTGCAACCAAAATGTTGGAGATGTGATTGTGAGGATGCCACATATTTTCATATTTGGTGGACATGTAAAAAGGTTAAAGCGTTTTGGATAAAAATTTGGTGGATCTTACAAAACATTCTTAAAAAGAGGTTAAAATTTACACCACAGCTGTTTCTGCTGGGTATAGTTACGGATTGTACGGTTATAGAGACTAAATTGATTTTGAATTTAATAACAGCAGCAAGACTGTTGGTGGCACAATATTGGAAGAAGCAAGACTTACCTACAATCCAAGAATGGACAATGAAAGTTATAAACCTAGCGGAAATGGCAAAAATCTCGGCGTACTTGAAGGAACATTCAAACGAAAGATATCTAAGGGACTGGAGAAGATGGATAGATTACATCCAAAATAAATACCGGAATAAGAAGTTGCAGATAGGTTATGAATGAGTATATAGATATTTGGTGTGTTTTTAAGTAATTAAGTTAGTAGGGTAATTAGGGAATTGAAGGAACAAGAGATGTTGAATGTTATAATTATCTAGATTAGGATGGATTATGATTGTTGAAGGTTATACCCTGTAATTTGTTCTGGGAAGAGGGGGGGGAGGTGGGTGGCTAGGAAGGGGAGGGGGTGGGGGTGGCAGGGAAGGGGGGGAATTATGTAAACCTTTTGTAAAACTTTTCAATAAAAAAAAAGAATGGACATTAAAAGTAGCGAATCTGGCAGAAATGGCGAAGATTTCAGCATATTTAAAAGATCACTCACAAGAAAGATATATATCGGAATGGAGAAAATGGATTGATTATATTCAAAACAAATATCGGACTAAAAAGTATCAAATAGCTTATGAATGAATAGAAAAATTAAGAGTAATTTAGTTAAGTAAAAGGGGAGTTAAAGTGTGAAGGGGGGGATAGGAATCCTTAGTTAATTAGCTTAGTTTAGCATATGATTGTTAATTGTTATACCCTTTATTTTGTTCTGGGAAGTTGGGGGGGTAAGGAAGGGGGGGGGAAAATACTTGTAAAAAAAATTTTTTTCCCTTTTTTGTAAAACTCTTTAATTAAAAAAAAAAAGAAGAAGAAAATCTATACAGCCAAAATGAGCAAAAACCTTTCACCGATGTGTTGGAAATGTGAGGCTATGCCAGGGACTTTTTATCATATGTGGTGGGAATGCCAGAAAGCCAGAGACTTTTGGCACCAGATAAAAGAATGGCTGAAAGAGATGTTAATGCAAAATATTGAGTTAAAGCCAGAACTTTTTTTACTGGGTATTACAAAGGATAAATATAACAAGGGAACAATATACCTAATGTTACATATTCTAACAGCAGAAAGATTGGCCTTCGCGCAAAATTGGAAAAATAAAGAGACCCCCTCAGAAGTAGTAGTATTAGCTAAGATATTGACTTGTGCTGAAATGGACAGGTTGACTCTAGAACTCAAAGATAAGAGCAAAATGGAATATTATGAAATCTGGAATAAAATGTATTATTGGTTGGAGAGGAGGAGGAATGCTGGGATAAAGAATTATTGATAAATTGAAAGTTTAGAAATCTTTACGTTAATATTCTGTGACAGAGGAATGGAATTGGGATTGATGTAACCTTCACAGATGAAAGAATCTATGTGTTTGAATTGTGATAGATGATATATACTTGTATAGCGAAAAGGAACTGTATTTGTTGCAAGGTAAAACTTGACGGAAATGTTTATACTGGAAAAGTCACACCATGTCCAATGATTTTAATTGTACTATTAATAAAAAACTTTAAAAAGAAGAAGGATGGAAGGCTGAGTCAACCTTGATCCGTTCAGAATCGATCTCCTGAGAGTGAACAGCCTACAATACTGCATTCTAACCACTATGCACCACAATATATTAAGGGTATAATAAAATGTATATGGAGCTTGTCCTTGTCCATCTGATACAGGAAACAGCAGAAGCAGGAACAAACAGGTAAGCAATAGGCAGCTGTTTATTTATTTATTATTTATTTATTTTATTAATTAAGCTTATATGCCGCCCTCTCTCCGGAAAGGACTCAGGGCGGCTCACAGCAATAAAAACAGATAAAATCAATATTAAGTGTTAAAAACCATTAAAACTCCCCTTAAAACCCCTTCAGTCCAATCCGGCCTGGCCAAATAACCATGTCTTAAGGTCACGGCACGGAAAGAACGCAAGTCAGGGGCCACCCGGAGCTCCAGGGGGAGTTGATTCCATAAGGTAGGTGAAAGCCCGTTCCCTAGGAGTTGCCAGACGACACTGCCTGGCTGACGGCACTCCCAGGAGGCCCTCCCTGTGGGAACACACCGGGCGATGGGAAGCTGTCACTGGCCGCAGATGGTCCATCAGGTACCCCGGGCCTAGGCCATGTAGGGCTTTATAGGTAATAACCAGCACCTTGAATCTCATCCGTTGCTGTTGCTGAGAGCATACTTCCAGAATAGGGAAATCTCTCCAAATACTTTTCAGACAGGTATGTCCCAAGGAAGCCTGTTAACATTTTCCTCTTATGCAAGATATGAAACTATTTTGGTTCCTTTGATATTGTAGAAGGAACATTGATATTTAACCAGTGACAGTGAACAAAGAAGTACAGTGAATTGCTCAGCTATGACTCTCAACCTGTATTTAAAGGAGAAAAACATGCATGTCTCTTTCCTCTTAATCAAGCGAGTGTACACAGTTTCTACCCTTTTTCATAGATTAGAAAACGTGAATATTTGTCTAGGATCATACAGGAAGAACCAAGAAAAATACACTACTTAGAACTTCTACTTCATTTTTCTTATCTAGTACAGTTGCAAAACAAATACATTACATAGCTTTATGTGAATTTTCTTCCAAAAAATAAAGTATTAAAAAAATAATGACTGCTCACATTTCTCACTTCCACCATTACAGGTAGTCCTCGACTTACAACAGTTCATTTAGTGACTGTTCAGTTATAACGGCAGTGGAAAAAGTGACTTATGACCAATTTTCAGTTACAACCTTTGCAGCATCCCCATGGTCATGTGACAAAAATTCAAATGTTTGGCAACTGGTTCATATTTATGATCTTTGCTGTGTCCCAGGATCATATGATCACCTTTGGCAATCCTCTGACAAGCAAAGTCAATGGAGAAGCCAGATTCACTTAACAACCGGGATACTAATTTAACAACTGTAGTAATTCACTTGGCAACTGTGACTTGAAAGGTCGTAAAATGAAGCAAAATTCACTTAACAAATGTTTCATTTAGCAGCATAAATTTTGGGTTCAATTGTGATAAGTCGAGGACTACCTGTACATTTTTCTTCAAAATACAGTTATATTGCAAATCTAAGGAAACAGATTTTCATTAAAAGAAAGCGGCTATACCAAATGGTTTTCTAGAATATCTATAGTACTTTAGCCTCTTTCTTTATAAATAACTCTGTGAAAAAAAGTCCAGGTGTTATTTTCTTGTGGCATTTTAATTATTTTAGAATGCTGTTTCAATTAACCAAAACAATAATTCCATCTAAGTAGATGCAACTTCATCATACAATTTTGAATAATGAATAATTAAAAATCTATTATTTAGCTAGGGAATTTATATGCAACAACACATAGATTCTATTTCCAATTAAAAGAAAAATATTTGTTCTCTTGGACTTGTAATGCTTATTGGAACAGCAGATAGAACCAAGGGAGAGCATCCTTCTCATTGGCAATATTTTCGTATCATGTACTCTCTGAGGACAGATTAGTGCCCAATCTTTTGCCTTCAGGAATTGGTAAAAAAAATTCTTTTCTGTAGGGAATGACAATTGAACATTTAATTAGGGTTGCTTCTGACACCAAGATTATGTAAATTTTTACAACGCACAAGAACAAGTAATAAGCATCTGAAGAGCTGAGGTGGCACAGTGGTTAGAATGCAGTACTACAGGCTACTGCTGACTGCAATTTGGCAATTCAAATCTCACCAGGATCAAGGTTGACTCAGCCTTCCATCCTTCCGAAGTCGGTAAAATGAGGACCCAGATTGTTGGGGGCAATATGCTGACTCTGTAAACTGCTTAGAGAGGGCTGTAAAGCACTGTGAAGTGGTATATAAGTCTAAGTGCTATTGCTATCTCTCTTCTAATGACTGAAACATCCTTACACGCATTCCTAATATTGAAGAGCATTTCTTTTCATGACTACAATATCCACAGAACACCAAAAGAAAGCACATACTGTGCATATACTATAATCCAGTATCTCTGGAAAATAAAGGATGTGGACTGTTATATGAACTTAATGATTTAGAAATATCTCTTACTCTTCTGTAATAGAGAAATAGAAAAGTTGTTATTTTACTGAGAAAAAATATTCCAGAGAAGAGATTAGTTTACCTCAATAGAAGTAGTATGAAGTAAAGACTCCCCTTTATGGTTTCTCTTGGCTGATAAGTTTTTGGAAAATTTCTTGAGGAATGCCTCCTTTTTAGCACAATTTCTGGACCCTTTTGGAAGTTCTGGATCACTGGCATATGCAAAGTCTTCCAAGTTCCTTAGGGGTGATGTGATTCCAGGCAATGTCAGAGATGGGGAAGAAACTGCACAGTCCCTAAGGGGAAAGGCTGCCACAGAATTCCCAGGCAACTGCTCTGAGGCCTTTTTGAGCAATCGTGACTTCTGGTGGGTAGTCCCCTCTTTTGTTTTGTGACACTTAGGCAAAGAAATGGGAGAGCCAGCAAACTGCCTGTCACACTTTAACTGAGTTGTTTCCTTTGCCAAGGAAAACCACTCTTCAGAAGTCAGATCTCCCCCAAAAACGTTAGGCATAAGAGAAAAGTTGCAATTGCTACACTTCTCTTTAGGTTTCACAGGTCTACCATTCCTGGGTTCTCTGCATTCACCTGCATTCTCTGCAAGCTCTGTCCCGGTTATCAGCCTCAACCCTGAGGTATTTTTTGAGCCAGAACTGGGGATTGGGTTTTTGCTTTGCTTTGCTACATTATACCTTTCACTGGAGTTTTCCTGCTGGTTCCTGAAGGTGTTCCCCTGTTTGCTGAAGTCTTTTAAAGTCTTTTTTCTTAGCTCCTTCTTATATTCCTGATGAGGTGTCTGTTCCTCTCTGAAAGGCTTCTCATGAGGAGGTGAAGAAACAAAGTCATAAATGGAGGTTAAGTTACAAGACCCGCTGTCCTTGACTGATTGCTTCAGCTGCTCTAATTTCTTTGGGCTTGTCTTCAGGGTGAATTTCATCCTCCTGCTATGAGGACTGAAACTCATTTTGATTTGTTTCCTTTTAGCTTCTGCCTCTCCAACTTTCTTTCCCAAAGCAGACAAGTTATCTTTACGATCTGACAAGGAAACAGAAGGAAGAAAAAACATTTAGTTTTACCGTATTTTCCGACGTATAAGATGACTGGGCATATAAGACGACCCCCGACTTTTCCTGTTAAAATATAGGGTTTGGGCTATACTCGCCGTATAAGACTACCCCTCTTCCAACGCACACCAAATAAAAATTAAAAAACATCAACTGGCTCACCCACAATGTAAAAGCAGATGTGCTAGACCCAAGATGGCCCCTGCAACAAGCAGGAACCTCACACAGCCACAAAAAGCCCAAAAAAACAACTTTCACACTTTACACACACACAACACAACACAACTGGCTCACCCACAATGTAAAAGCAGCTGTGCTAGATCCAAAATGGCCCCTGCAACAAGCAGGAACCTCACACAGCCACCAAAAGCCCAAAAAAACAACTTTCACACTTTACACACACAAAATTCCACATACAGCTTTGTGAGATTTTGTGTGTTTGTGTAGTTAGAGTGAAACACTACAGAAACACACTAAATCTCAGAAAGCTGCACAAATATTATTTTATTTTATTTTATTTTAATTTTTATATGAAAACTAAATTTAAAACTTCCTAAACTTTAAATGGCTAGGTCTAAAAAAGAACTTAAAAAAACCCCCAAATAACTATTTTTTTAAAGCTCCCAAAGGGGAAAAAAACTTACCCAATAGAACAGGGGTCTCCAACCTTGGCAACTTTAACACTTGTAGACTTCAACTCCCAGAATTCCTCAGCCAGCTTTATTTTGCTGGCTGAGGAATTCTGGGAGTTGAAGTCCACAACTCCCTGCCTGCTTGTTTGCAGGCAGGGAGTGGCTTGCTGATGGAATGGATTCAGGCAAGCGAAGCAAGGCAAGCGTTGCAACTAGCAGCTAAGGTAAGCAAGCTGGAGGAGAAAAACTTTTTTCCTTTTACATGGCTCTGGCGATCCCAGCTGCGTTGCCTGATTAGCAGGCAACGCAGCTGGGATCGTCAGAGCTTGGATCGCCAGAGCCATGTAAAAGGAAAGTTTTTTCCTTTTACATGGCTCTGGTGATCCCAGCTGAGTTGCCTGATTAGCAGGCAAAGCTGGGACCGTCAGAGCTTGGATCGCCAGAGCCATTTAAGGCTCGTCAGAGCCTTTCGGGCTGGTCTGCCTGGTTACAGGAGAACGACACCCGGCGTATAAGACGACCCCCGACTTTTGAGAAGATTTTCATGTGTTAAAAAGTCGTCTTATACGCCGGAAAATACGGTATATACACTATAACAATATTAGCTCTTATTGGTGGGATTATTTGTATCTGCATTGTTTCATTTAAGGCTGCAGTTATGATGAAATGCTTTTTCCATTCCAAAAATCTGTCATGCTTTTTGTATATAAACATTTCCTTCTAATTTCTCCACAGTTTCTTATCATGTTTGGGTATAATATCTGACCAAAAATTCTGCAAAAATCAGAAGAGTTCCACATAGAGCGCTAGTTTCCAAGCAAAGTTATATCACAATTCAGCACTATAGAGAGGAGTATTATGGTTACTCATAGTACAGTACATCCTGTTCTTCCTCTTCTTACTGAGATAACTTTCAGATTTGCAGAAAACATGTTGCCATTATGTTAAACTAAGATTTGCCTCAAAACAAAGATCAAAGGAGCATAGAATTCAGTGGTAGAAACATTCTTTACCTACAGAAAATGAGTTTTGATATTGAAATATGAAATTATTTTAAAAATTTGAATCCATTGAGACTAACTGAATGGATGTTGGTCTTACCTGATACGTCCTTTCTCTGGGAGGAGGAAACGGCAGTCAGACATGGGAAGCACTCCGTCTGTGTAGCATAGGACCGAGTCTGCAAAATTTGAATAACTCCGCCCTCTGCCTGTATCTCCCAATGTTTCAGCGAGGACGCTGATGCAGACTGATGTGTCTTCCCGAAACAAGAGAGAGTTAAAAATCCACCCACCCCTCCAATAACCAGGGTGGGCTCACTGCCGTTTCCTCCTCCCAGAGAAAGGACGTATCAGATAAGACCAACGTCCATTCTCCTAGTCGGAAGGAAACGGCAGTCAGACATGGGACATACCACAGCTGCTTGTCCCCTGGGAGGGATGAAAAGAGGCCCGTCATCTCCCATCGACATGGACGGGCTGAAGGACGTGACATCCAAAGGACGCATCCGCTGAGAAGAACGAGTCCACTCTGTAATGCCAGATGAACGGCATAAGACTTGTCCAGGTGGCAGCCTTGCAGATCTCCTCCAATGAAGCCTGAGTAGCCCAGGCAGCAGAAGTAGCAGCGCTCCTGGTCGACTGAGCCGTAATGCCGCGAGAGATAGGCAAGGATTGCTGTTGGTAAGCGGTGGAGATAGTAGCCCTGATCCACCGACCCAGCATAGGTCCAGTGGCCTTGGCGCCTATAGATGCTGGTTGGTAAGAAATAAATAAGGATTCAGTCTTTCGGAGGTCGGATGGGCGATGTAGATCTTGAGCTCCCATCGGACGTCCGGGATGTGCCAGGAGCGTTCCAAACGGTGAGTTGGGAGAGGGGAGAAATTGGGTAGGACCAACTCCTGAGCCCAGGGAATTAACCTTCGGGATGAAGGCAGGGTCGAGGTGGAGAACCACCCTATCCGGGTGGAAGATGCAGAGATCCCGGCACGTCGATAGGGCAGCAAGCTCTGAGATGCGCGGAGCCGATGTGATAGCAACCAAAAAGGCAACTTTGAAAGAAAGAAAACGAAGAGAAACAAGGCGGAGAAGCTCGAAGGGAGAGGTTGTCAGGGCTGTGAGAACCTTGTTTTTTTGTTTTTTTGTTTTTTTTTTAATTTGATTTATATGCCGCCCTTCTCCGGAGACTCAGGGCGGCTTACAATGTGCTAAGCAATAGCCTTCATACTTTTATATATTTATACAAAGTCAGCTTATTGCCCCCACAAACTGGGTCCTCATTTAACCTACCTTAGAAAGGATGGAAGGCTGAGTCAACCTTGAGCCTGGTAAGATTCGAACCTGCAGAAATTGCAGGCAGCTGTGTTAATTACAGGGTGCATTAAACCACTGTACTACCAAGGCTCACTGTTAAGGTCCCATGTGGGAAAACAATGGACAGTCAGAGGCCGCAGGTTAGAGGCACCACGCAGAAAGTGACGTATGACCGGATGCCTGGACACTGTTGTGGGAGAGCCGCATGTCAAGACCGAGGAAATGGCGGCAATTTGACATCGGAGAGTATTGGATGCCAAATCCGAGTCGAACCCCTCTTGAAGAAATCGCAAAACGTGGACGATCTACGCCGAAAGAGGCAGAACCAATGACCGGTGGCACCAGGACATGAAAGAAGCCCAAATAGCATCATAGATATGATTAGTGGAAGAACGGTGAGAGGCTTGGATGGTGGAAATCACATGGTCGGATACCTGAGGTCCCCTCAGCAGACACCGCTCAATCTCCAAGCAGTCAAGTGGTACCAGGTGGGATCCGGGTGTCGCAGGGACCCCTGTGTGAGGCTGATCCGATCGTCAAGAATGCTCCAGGGTGTTACCACAGATAAGGATACCAAGTCCGCGTACCAATGCCTCCGGGGCCAGCGGGGGGCTACGAGAATGAGCTCTGCCCATTCCTCCAGTAGCTTCCGGAGAACTCTGGAAATCAAAGGGAAGGGAGGAAAAGCGTACAGTATCCCCGAAGGCCAAGGGCTGCGGAGAGTGTCCGTGGCCTCCGCCCTAGGGTCCAAGTATCTGGAATAATACCTCGGAACCTGATGGTTGGCGGCCGATGCAAATAGGTCCATCAAGGGAAGGCCGAAGCGGGATGCGATCTCCTGGAAGATAGGAGCAGTTAGACTCCACTCTGTGTGGTCCAGCTGATGGCGACTGAGGGCATGTGGTCTGCATGAATAGAACTGAGGTGAGCTTCGGCCCAAAGACCCAGCAACAGGGCTCCCCTCATCAGGGTGTTTGAGTGAGTGCCCCTCATCTTGTTGATGTGGGCCTTTGCCGTCACGTTGTCCATGAGGACAAGAATGTCGCGAGCCTCCACCGCGTCCTGGAAGTGGAGGAGGGCCAGACGGATGACCCGTAACTCTAAGAGGTTGATATTGAGATGCTGTTCCGCGGATGACCACTGACCTTGCACTAGACAATGATCCAAGTGAGCGCCCCAGCCCGAGAGGCTGGCGCCCGTAGTGAGGAGTATCCGCACCGGTTCTCAGAAAGGGCAGGCCCTTGATATCACTGAGGAGGTCCATCACCGGAGAGAGTCGACTAACTCGGGAGGCAGGGCCACCGTGGTCCGTTCCGTGTTGGAGTGGACCTTCTGATGGGGCAGAAGGAACCATTGCAATTCCCTTCTGTGGAGGCAAGACCGAGGAACAACACCGAAGGTTGAGACCATCTTGCCTAGAAGGCAGGACAGTCCCAGAACCGAGGAAGAACGATCCGTGACGCATCGTTGAGCGAGGGAGCGCAGACTGGATTGGCGGTCCAGAGAAAGGGAGACTGTGGATGCCACGGTATCAATGACTGCCCCCAAGTGTTGGAGACTAGTAGAGGGGTTCAGATGGCTCTTGGCCCAATTTATGGAAAATCCATGGCTCTGAAGCACGTGGATGGTTGTACGGTGAGCGGCATGGATGGAAGAGGATTGGATAAGGATATCATCTAAATTAAATTGAATTCTAATGGGGAGGGAACGGAGGTGGGCGACAAGGGCACCATAATTTTGGTAAAAACCCGGGGGGCAGAGGAAAGGCCAAAAGGCAAGGCTGAGAATTGATAATGCCCCCCACGGTAGTGGAAACGAAGGTATTGATGGCAAGAGGGGTGAATAGGTACATGGAGATAAACCTCCGCCAGATCAATGGAAGAAAGAAAATCCCCCGGCCTAATGGTATTGAGGATGGTGTGAAGGGTGTGCATCTTGAACCGGCGGTATATGACGTACCGGTTCAGAATCTTGAGATCTAAAATGGACCTCCACCCACCCCCCAAGGGTTTCCTCACTAGAAACAA